AAATGGCATATTATTTGCAGATAATTAATTCTTTATCAAAAAATTTTTTTAGACCAATTAAGTGAAATAGGATGATTTTCTACGGCATTTTCTTTTTATCAGACAGGCCCCTATACTCAGCTCTTTTAAAACCTTTTTAAAGACCCACTTTTTCACTCAGGCCTTTGAGTGAGACTTCGACTTTATCTTAGTTGTCTTAATTTCCCTCTCTTACTTGGTTTTGTTTTTTCTTATTTATAATTGTTTTGCTCTTACTGTTTTTTAATCTTTGAGTTTGTCTAGTGTTGTGGTGATAATGGGGGGGGGGGGCAAAGGGTTCTGGGGGCTCATGTAGTGGATTAATATTCTACAGTGAATATATTATCACAAAAGAATTAGTAGTAAGTGCATTAATACATATATATATCAAAAAGAAAGGTAGAAGTAACATGTAGCTGGGATATATATATATACATATATATAAACATATAAAAGGAAGAAACCATGGTTCAAAGGCTAAAACATAATAAAGGTGGAGTCCCGATAAAGGAGGGACTCAGGGTGGAGCACCGATAGAGGAGGGGCTTAGGGTGGAGCCCCCAAGAATCAAAAGGTTTAAAAGCAGGTGTTCGTCCCAAGAAAGTCAGATGTTAGCTGGCTAACACCTCACGTGTTTGTGCAATAAACCACTTGGACCCGGATCTAGCGGCCTCTGCTTGTTCTTTTGGACTTAGGATAATTTCTCTCCTTCTGGACTTAGAATAATTCTTCAACTCTGGACTTAGGATAATTTCGCTCCTTCAGGACTTAGAATAATTCTTCAGCTTCTCCTTCAAGAACTTAGTATTTTTGCAAGACTTAGAATAATTCGACAAGTCGTTGAAAGAATATTTCACGACACTCACCTGGTAGTAGGCGGCTCTCTGGAGCTGCTCCGCCCCTCGTTCCACGTGAACCTCAGCGCTCTCCACGTTAGCCTCGATGCTATCTGCAGACCAGAGCATAAAGGAGGGTCAAACGAAAACAAAGCAGAGATGACTGCTTTAACAAGTTATTACCAGAAGTGTCATCCAACCATTTCACTTCTGAAAGAAAAAGTAAACTAACAAGAGAGCATTTTTATTTTCTATACCAGGGGTCTTCAAGGTTTTCCAGGCCAAGGACCCCAAACTGATGGAGGGGGACCCCGTAATTATATATATTGTCTGAAATTGTGTTCCATCACACTGGTCCTATAGTGTGTAAATGTCCTATAATAATCAGATACTAAGATCCTCAGATAATCCACAGGTTCATATCTTCCTGTTTTTACTGTAAACATC